AAAAAAAAATACTTTAAACAAGGTCAATAACCAGTTTCCCCAGGTTGTATGAGAAACAATCCCTCAGATTCCTCATGCATATGTCTATAAAAAAATTAAGACTTATCTTTATAGCTAGGTATTGGGGGCATGTATGTGTTTATATAGAAGCAAAAATTGTTTCACCTTGACCAGGATAAAGAGGTTGTGGCTTTATGCTTAGAATATGCTGTTTGCTACTTTGCCTTTTTTTGTTTCCATAGTTGATAAAGTCCAAAGCTTGCTAGTTCCTATGAAATTTCCGATTCATCACCTGGCCCTGAGCTGTGATAACCTCACACTCTCTGTGTGCATGATGTCCAGTGAATATGGCTCCATTATTGCTTTTTTTGATGTTCGCACATTCTCAAATGAGGTAAGCTGCTGGTATACTGTAAGGTCGATTGGGAAACCAAAGAGATTTCCTGGTATTGAATTATAACTTGGAAGCTTACTTTGAAATCTCTTTCTAGGTTAAAATGTGGGTTTAAAAGAAGTTATTAACTATAGAATTATAGAAGGGACTTCAAGAAATTATTTTCATAACACCATCTGCCCCCAAGACGTTATCGTTTCTTGTTTACACATGAGACAACCAACCAGGGAAGCTTCGATGATTTGTCTAAATCCATAACATTAATAGATAATGTCAAAAGTTTTGGGTCTCTGATCTCCTAATGCAGTGTTCCTCTATTCCCAAGCAATTTCAGAATGGTAATAGTGGGTAATATTGAGTGTTTGTACTGACTCTGTGCCAAGCCCTGTGCTGAGTGCTTTGGCTGCATTGTCCCTTGTTCATGCCCACAGCCTTACAAAATAGGTTCTACTATCTTTGTTTAATAGATGGAGGAAAATTCTCAAAGGGTTTAATTGTCCAAAGTCACAAAACTATTAAGAAGCAGAGCTAATATTTTAGTATCTGCTACTTACTGGTTATTTTGTAGTTGTGTATTTCCATTCTAGAAGTCCCTCTGAGCATGTTAGAATAATTGCCATTTTCAAAGTTGTGTTGAAATTGTAAGAAATTGATTGTTGTTGTATGGAGCTAAATCTTTTTTTATGGTTGTGGAGAAAAATAAACTGATTTGAGAAAACTTGTATTAATATTATGTGAATATTAAATGTCTGTGCATTTACTAATTTATTAATTTATTTTGCTTTTATGTGTTTGTTTTAAAAGGCTAAACAGCAGAAGCGCCCATTTGCCTATCATAAGCTTTTGAAAGATGCAGGAGGCATGGTGATTGATATGAAGTGGAACCCTACTGTCCCCTCCATGGTGGCAGTCTGTCTGGCTGATGGCAGCATTGCTGTCCTGCAGGTCACAGAAACAGTGAAAGTGTGTGCATCTCTTCCTTCCTCAGTAGCAGTAACATCTGGTGGGTAATAAAGTCTTTCACGTTATAACATAGAGTAATAGTAATCTCTTAAAAATTAATTTCTGGAAGTAAAAATGGGTATTTTCTTGTTTATTGTGTGTTTTGGGGATAGAAATGGAGAGTTTCTTTACTTCCATAGCTAATGTCCTAGAAGCCAAAGAGCACACATGATTTAATCTGAATGTGCTTGGCTTTTCTGGAGCAGTATTTTGTACAGTTGGATTAGAACTTTGTTTTTGTAAATACCATAATTGCTTCTAGATCTAAAGGATCATACTCTGAAAGTCATTTGTACCTTCAGGGAGGAAAGCACTAGAAAATTCCAAATAGTAGAATGATTTCTTGATAGGAGACCCTTCTTTCTTTTCCTTGTCTTATCTGAAGACAGCAGAGTTTTCTGTACTTTATAGATTTCAATAATTTATTGAAAAAGCATTTTTAGCTTTCAGTTCATTGGCCCTGTGATAAATCATAATTGGCTTATATTGGGTTTTTTGTGTTTGTTTTCTGAGACAAAAGTCTTACTCTGTTACCCTGGGTAGAGTGACATGGCATCATAGCTCATAGCAACCTTAGACTCCTGCCTCAAGCTATTCTTTTTTTTTTTCTTTCTATTTTTAGTAGCGACAGGGTCTCACCCTTGCTCAGGCTGGTCTTAAACTCCTGAGCTCAAGCTGTCTACCCACCTCAGCTTCCCAGAGTTCTGGGATTGCAGGTGTGAGTCTCTGTGCCCTATTGGGACAGAGTCTCACTATGTTGCCCACAGTAGAGTGCTGTGGCATCACAGCTGACAGCAACCTCCAACTCTTGGGTTTAAGCATTGGCAATCACAGCTGATTTCAACCTCCAACTCTTGGATTTAAGCAATTCTTTTGCTTTAGCCTCCCAAGTAGGTGGGACTACAGGTGCCTACCACAATGCCCAGCTATTTTTTGTTGCAGTTGTCATTGTTTAGCTGGCCTGGGCTGGGTTTGAACCTGCCAGCCTCAGTGCATGTGGCTGGTGCCATAACCACTGTGCTAAGGCTACTGAGCCAACCTGTCTTATGTAAACGATTTTCCTTTTTTTGTTTTGCTGAGCGGGATGATCCTACAGTCTTCATGGACTGACTGAGGAATAAAAAGTAATTAGCAGGGCTGGTGGCTCGTGCCTATAATCCTAGCACTCTGGGAGGCCAAGACAGGTGGATTGCCTGAGCTCACAGATTCAAGACCAGCCTGAGCCAGAGCGAGACCTCGTCTCTAAAAACAACTGGGCGTTGTGACAGGTGACTATAGTCCTAGCTATTTGGGAGGCAGAGGCAAGAGAATTGCTTGAGCCCAAGAGTTTGAGGTTGCTGTGAGCTTTGACGCCACAGCACTCTACCCAGGGTGACAAAGTGAGACTCTGTCTCCAAAAAAAAAAAAAA